GACACGTCCATCAAGGTTCTCTTACCATCTTAATGTCAATCCTTCTTTCTGCCTCATTGAGCCTATATTATTTTGCCACGTAAGCAATAATTATCTGTTTAGCATTTGATAGTTTGTACTGTTCATACATTTTTCCATATTGATAGTCATCAGAACGAAAATCACTGTGTCCATGTACTCATTTGGTCTTGTGGTGACTCTTTACCATTATTGCACATCTAATGTTCCATTGCATAATCTTTAACCATGTTTTATCTATGCAGTCAACTAGTTTCATCATCATTTATGATTTATATCTGGCCTAGTGATTTATAGTTTCATTGGCGATACATTCCATTTAAATAATAGAAATTGATCTTCTTTTGTGTTGTATTCTTCAGGGGTCTGGTTGGTTACAGAAGCGTGTTTAGCAATTCTTCAGGGGTCTGGTTGGTTACAGAAGCATGTTTAGCAGTGACACACGTGGAACTGGATTTATGCATCGCGCTTTCTTAAGTAAGATTTTCCCGTCTTGTTACTTTTATCTCTCCATTCCCTTTGCATTTCGGTTTTGCCTTTAAATCTGTCATGTAACTGGGGCCTCGTTAGGGAGGTAATTCTTTTCCTAGTTGGTCATCACCTTGTTCTACATTTTCTGGTTGCTTGGATTTAACATGGTTCTCTGTCCAGGTCTATACCCTGACATATGGATGTGCTTGTGTTTGTGTCCGGACACCTGTGCCTATATGTATATGTAGTGATGTATGCATGCATGTATAACTCATGCATATGTATGTTTACATAATCTTAGTGTATGATACTTATGCATCTGATGAACATAAAATAAGAATTGAATTTTTTTTATTTTATATTGTGTTTATTTTCTTAAATGTGTATTTTTATAAATCTGATTCTCAGCCTGGTTAATAACAGTTATTATGGTTCAATCAGACGAATCTTAATTTTGCAGAATTGATTTTGATCTATTCGAGATGGGAAGAAAAGAATAAGCACAAAAATCAAAAGAGAAAACCTTAACCAACAGATAGAACAGCAACACAGAAAGCACTCAGCACAGTACTCCCCCTCCAATGAAGAAAAATCACACTAAAATTAATGTTCTTGAAATGTTTTTTACAGAGAAGTCCGGAAATAATTTCGTGATGGTACCTTTTCCAATCAGTTTAAAACCAAATGAAGCAACTTTCAGTGTTTTTTCTGACCCAAAAAAAAAAATACTTTCAATTTTTCCTTTTTCCCCTAGATTGGAAAATAGTTTTTCTGTAAAATGTAACAGTGACTTGGAGGTTGAATTTCTGGACTTGGTGGCTTAGCTTTTGCTCGAATCAATTGCATGGGACAGTGACTTGGAAAACAGTGCAGCAAATGCTTATATTATACTGCTCTTAGAGCAACTCCACCCATTTGCCCTTAGCCATGGCAAGGGGGGGAGCTAGGGCAGCCCCTATTCCCGGGAATAGGGGTGGCCC